TACCTCTCTGCTTGGAATTTCCAAGTAGGCTCCAGCTTCCTAGTTCTACAGATTTACACAGCCTGAGGACTTATTTTAGGTTTGCACTGCCTAGTACTGGCTTGTATTCCTCTGTGTAACAGGTTACACTGATGCCCCAAACCTGCCAGTTATGCTAATGTGATCATAGTTACAGGTATCTTATTTCAACTGATCGACAGAATGCCGTCACTATAATACTGTCTATATATTATATAGGTGATTATCCAAATTTTGTCATCAGTGGGTTTTGAACTCACAACCTATCACTTGGGAGTATGACAACTTATCCACTTCACTAAGTCACCACGCCCTAATGTAAATGTTTAAAACTTAATAAATACAAAATAGTTAAAAATTAAATAGAATTAACAATTTAGTATCTTTCTTAACAAATTGCATTTAAATTAATTATATAGCAGCTTATTGTAATTATATTTATAACACCTTTATTTAACATTTTTCTAAAAAAAATAAATTAATACAATTATTGTTAATATTATATATATACTAATAGATTAAAATACAAATTTTATGTAATTTTTAATATTATAAATAGAACTGAGTTTTTTTTATCTTATTTGTATTTAAAATCTGATTAGAAAAAAAAAAATAGAGATTATTTTAAATTAGTTTAATTTAATCAATAAACAAAGCTTTTATTATATTTAAATCTTTTTAACTAATAAAAATTTTATTTAAATTAAATCAGTTTAAAAAAGCTAGTCTTATACATCAATCTAATTTTGTTATTAGCATGTTTTAAGTGCTATAAAAAAAATTTATTTAGTATTAGAATTATTTATACATTGTACAATATACATAAAATATATAAGATTTGTTTAGATATAATTCAGCTTAGCAACTAGAATCAACAAATTAAACTATATATAATAAGCTTTATTTAAATAGTAATATAATTAAAAATATAAATAATGATAAGTATCAAGTATTTTGTCAAAAAGATCTTTAGAAGTATATTATAAAACTAGTTTAAATTTATTTTTTTATACATCTATTAATTTTAACTAAAACTTAATCTAAATTGTATAACTTATAAAGCATTTAAAAAAACTGTATTAAAGAACTATATAATTATTGTAAAACTAATAATCTACCTTATTTTTAGACTTATTTTTAAAATAAGTAGTATTAACTAAAAAGATAAAAATTATAAGCATGTTTAGCAACAAACTATATTAATATTTTACAGTTCTTTATAATAATTAAAAGTTATTAGAGAATAATTAAACATAATTATCTTTCTAAATATAATTATGCATATTTAGATTTTTTAGTATATATTATTATAATATAAATTATATTTAGATAAGTAGATTGGTTACAGTAATTATGAGATGACAGAATTGTAACATGTTGGTATTCTGATTTTAAGACAGAATGATACCAATTTAAAGAAAACCTAATTAATAATAACTTTCAATAATAACTGACACAGATCAATAGATATACTTATATTTAAGTTACTTGATTAGCAGATTTTTTATTTATAAATATTTAGTTTAAAGAATAAATCTAATTTCTATTAGATTTTTCAAAAATATATATATATTTATCTTAGTTAGCTATTATTTTATTCATATTGATATTTAATTTAAATATTTTTAGATTTATAGTCAAGAATTTTTTTTTTTTGTAATTTACTAAATAATAAAACAATTTTTTTAAAAATTTATTTGAAAATCTTTTTTATTTAGCTTTTAATAAACTCACAGATAAGTATATGTTAAATAATACTTTGAATAACAAACTTTAAATTATTTTTAAATTATTATACTAAACTATTCAAAGGTGAAAATAACATATAATATCAGAATAATAAACTATTTCAAGATGATAAACCACAAAATAATAATTCACAATATGATAATTTATAAGTCAATAACCTACTTCAAGCTAATAATCATAATGATAACCCATCTCAAGCTAATAATTATAATGATAATTAACTTCAAAATGATATGTTATTACAAAATGATATACTATTTTAAAATAACATGTTGTCTTAAAAAGATAATACAATTTTAAATATTGACAAAAAAATAAAATATAAAAAAACTTTATTTATTATTAAAATATATAAAAATTATTATTAATAAAAATATTTAAATACTAAATACAGACAATAGATTAATTCTATTGATAAGAATATTAATAATTTATACAAAATAATAAATAATTATAAATGATTTAAAAGAAAGTGAAAAATTCCAAATATGTAAAAAGGTCATAATTACAATACATTCTAAATTTAAATTTGTATAATAATTTAATCATATATATCTAATATAAAATAAATTAATTATAAATTGTTCTTGTATTTAAATAAAAAATATATGTTAATTTTTAATTAAAATTAAAATTAGTCAAAGTTAAAATTAGTCAAAGTTAAAATTAGTCAAAGTTAAAATTAGTCAAAGTTTTTTTTAAAAATTAGAGTTAAGGTAAAGTAAGTTAAATTACTTTTTTCTAATAAGTTATAGTAAAAAAAAATACTAAAGCAGAGATGATAACTATAGCAAAAACAGCAACAATTTTTTGCTTCACAAAAGATAACAGTAATGTTAATAATAAATATTCTTAAATTTTAAAATATTAAGTTTATGATCTATTACTGTTTGTTATCAGAAAATCCTATGATCATTATATTATATGATGTGGAAAATTTTTTAGACTGGCATTTTAAGTAGTGTTATAAGCTGGCTAATGCAATCACAGCTAAGCCAGCTAATATAAAAGAGTTAGCTAGCTAATATAGCTAAAGATTATATAATTATAAGTTTAATACTCTAAGTTTCAACAATAAAAAATAGATAAATATAAAATATAAGAAAGGTTCTGTAAAAAAAACTGTTAGCCAGCTATTTAGCTGATATTTTGGTCAGCTAGTTTAGTCAACTAATTAAAACCATTCAGCTTACAACACTAATTTTAAGTATTGTTCATGTAACAGATTGTTATAAGAACATTTATTTATAAATTATTATTACTGATTATTTATATAAATTTACTTAAAGAAAAAAAAACCGTATATAGAACACTCTGTATATATCTTTAGAAAGTATGCTCTAAAAATTTGCTATACCTCTAACCCTAAAATTAATTGATTAATTATCATAAATAAATATTGTAGATTAACCAATCAAATCATAAATTTTTGTTTATAATACTTTTTTTTTATATTCTTCAAAACTAATGTTTTTATTTTTTTTCAAATTAGCTTGTCACTATTTGTTTGAAGTTATTGATGGAGTTCTTGACTTTGACAATGCTTTAGATGATTTTTTTAAAATTCTTAACAGTGTTTACTAAATAAGAAGTTAAAAAGGCATGTATATTTTCTAATAAGAAATGATATCTTCAGTTTGTTGTGATATTGTCTAAAAGCAGCACTTCTAAGCACACAAAATAGCTAGCTACTTTGTAATGTAATACCTGCAAGAATGATTATTACTGAAATTATTGTCCAGAGTATAACTAAGAATATTTAATGTTCTGTTTGCATGCATATGCTCTAAACACATAATGCTATGTATTAACATATTTCATGCATATAAAGTACAAATTATTTTGTGATATTATACTTAAAAGGATGATTATTGCATAAATTGACTGTTTTTGGAAATAAAATTAAGTAGTTTGTGGTATCACATAAAAATGAAAATGAAGCTTCTTCAATAAGGATTACTAATTCTGAAGAAAGAATTTGTTATATATTTTCTTATAAAGAAGCTTATTGTGATTAGTAAAAATATTATGTTTAATAAATATAATTATTTTATTATTATTTTTTTTTTATAATAGGAAACCAAAATTATTTTACAAATTTTACATAGTCAGTTTGCATATAATTTGTAAATAGTAGTATATGATTTAGTAAAGTAGTAAGTATATTACAAAAATCACATTTGAGTATATAGAAGTAGCATAACATATATTATATATTCTTACAAAAATCTTAATAAAAAAATTGTTTTTAAAAAATTGAAAATTTTATGAAATCACTTTAATGTTAACAAAAATCAAATTTCTGTCTTGTCAAATTATAATTTTATTAAATTACATGTCCTCATAAAAATTTGTTTAATTATTATTTAATAAAAATATAATAAAAAAACTGCTTTCACAAAATTGAAATTTTTACAAAATTGCTTTAATGCTAACAAAATTCAAATTTCTGTCTTATCAAATTATAATGTTATTAATAATCTATCTTTTATTAATTAAGTATTAGTAAAATAATTTTGCTATATTCTATAAAATGCGTGAAATTTGATTCGCTAATATTCTTCATGTAACAATAATTTCCACAATAATAATGATTTTTACAAATTTCTAATAAGTGTTAATTATCAGAATGTACCTAACCCATCGAACTCGACAAGGGGTAATCATGTACTTAACTCATAAAACTCGACAAGGGATAATCGTTGGCAATAATTATCTTCTAAACATGAATCAATATTAATATGTACTATTTACAATATCAATTATAATGTTACAACGCTTGGATCTCCATTCTTTTAAGATAAAAATGTATTAGTACATATAAAATTTAATACAAACTAGAAAAATTCCCGATTTAATATTACTTACAAATGGATGTCTCCAGCCACATTGAAATTCTTGTTTTTTATACACTCTATCTGGGCTTGTAGAAGTATTATATCCAATATGGTACATCAATAAGACCTTTGACGTGACTAGTGTCTGTGTACAATCTTCGCAGCCTTTAGCCTTACCCATAAGACAGTTTTGTAAAATAATGTCAGGAGGAATTTCCAGTGATTCTTCCTTTAAAAGAAGATCAGATGCAATAAGAGCTTTATTTTTTTTTATCAAGAGGCCACTGTATTATTAAGCGTATTAATATTAATATATAGTTTAAAATGAAGCAATAAAAAGTAATTACCTTCCACCTGTTCCAACAAAGATGCCACAATGTTTAGGAACTTGTAAATTGGCATTATATATAACCGTTAACATTTCTTTCCATTTGCCGTCACATAAAGGAAAGTCATCTTCCACAAGGGCAATGTAGGAGCTTTTAAAATTTTCAGCCACAAGTTTTATAGCTTTAGATACATGTAATCGCTGGTTAATCTCAGAACCTTTTTCTTGATGGAATCGAAGATAATTTTGAGCTTTTAAATTATTTGCGTATACTGATCTCGCTTTGTCGAACATGGGATGATTACTAAAATGGGTAAATATAATCACTTGTGTACGCCTATATAGAGAACTCACATCGGGCTTATCGGGAAAGTTGTTTAGGTACGAGTCAATAGTACGTAAAAGAAAATCAGGATCACCACGTCTCGGGGCAGTCATTAAGAGGAATGTTAACAGAAAACGATCATCTGGAAAGATCTTATTCAATGTTGTCTCTCCAACAAAATTTGGTCGAGTATAGAAATAATTGCCAAATAACAAATAAAAGCAAGTGACCAAAATAATAGAATATTTTTTTAACCCAGAAATTATTTGCAATGGACTATTAATCCTTTTAATCTTGTCCGTAATTGCAATTGCATTGTGTTTTGGTAATAATTGTTCACTTATGCTATGACTTTTTAACTTGCTTTTTGATTGAGTTACACGCAAAACGATGGCACGAATTAGACCAGTTAATAAACCAGTCAAAGATCACCATAAAATATTTTGGTGCACATAATTAACCATACACATAAATAGTTGAAAGGTAATTTGCGGAGTTTTATTTTTAAAAATCATTTATTGATACGGAACAAAGATTTATCATCGATACTAAGCGGCTGAAAGGCTAGCAAAGCAAATAAAAAAAGGTGATAGTCCTACGGTATATGAATTAAAGCAAATTAGAGCATAAGAATATAAAAGAAAATCGGTTAGTAGAATTACCTTGGTTACATTCGTGCAAAGCTTCACTGAAAAATAGTGCGGGTAATGACCAACCAGTTGACAACGTTATTCGCCAGTATTGACTGGAATACAGAACAATTTGATTTGATTTTTACGTCATTCCAAATATAAGCACCATCTATTTCAACGTTTGGCTCTAATTTAGATAACAAATAATTAATCACGAAAAAAACCAGTTTCAAATTTCATTATTTTGAAAAGTACCTATTGTAACTCTTCGACTAATGACAGAATTTGTTATCTTAACATTTTCAGCAATCTTTGAACCGGCACCGATCAAAATTTTCTCACCAAGTGAGCAAGATCTAATTGAATTATAAAGAAATAAGTATTACTAATATAAACAATTAAAACCTCAACTATTTGAAACATCAATTGCCTTGATAGCAAAACATCTTTCTCTTTATAAATATGCCCACGTATAAACTTATAGTTATCACCTTTTTGAATATTACTGTCTAGGACAATAGGAAAAGTCCAATTATTTTACAAAGATATTTTCGATCAATGAAACAAAATAAATATAACAAATGGCACCCGTAATAAATTTTTATAAACCTGATGGCATCGTATGCATGCAAATTCGTACTATTGCAGCATAAACTTCTTTAACAAGATGGCAATAAATGGGTTTCCCTAATAAATCAGCTGTCAAAATACCATAAACAAAATCTTTCGAATATCTTGACATTCAAAATCCTCGGTGAATAAAGCTGGTACCTAAGATAAATTCAGGATAATCAATTCATTGTAACAGTAAAATTTTCATTTACCAATTTATTTACCTCTACTGAACAAATATCAATCTGACAATCGATAAGATCATTACATATTTGAACATCATGCTTTTTGAATACTTCCATATCCATAACCATGCGACGTTTACGCGGATAGAACTCCATGGTTTCACAATGAACGCATTCATTAGTTTTCCCATCTAGTACGAAAATTGGTGATTCACCTAAAGATCTGAAAAAGAGATTACAAATTTAATGAAACATTTCAATTCAGAATTTAATCAAGAAATATAAATTACCTTGTCTTGTGAAATGGACTTGCTTTTTTAACTACCTATATAATTATTAAATATAGGATATTCTTAATTTCTAAATATATACGTATCTTCGTGCAATGTATCAACATATCTCGAGTTAGTCGAGCAGATAATTTCAAATTTCTTCTTTTTATTTGGAGCCTGGAGTCTTTATAATTCTCTTATTTATGTTTGGAGTCGCCATGACTGAAATTACATGAGAATTATCTGAATTTAATGCCATTTATAACTGTTTTGTTAAATTTTAATATGAATAATTAATTTTCAAATAATGTTTATTAACGATAAGCGATAATTTTCAATAAGCAAAGATCTGAAATTTTCGAAGATCAAACCCTAAGCCATAATTTTTTTATAAATATTTACAATATTTGTGGCTTTCTATACTTTGTGCTTTACGATCTTTTAGCGTCATTATCTAACTATCCGTTTAAACTGAGGAGTTCCTATTGTTGCTCGCAACCACTTGATTATTTCAATAGGAATATCAGCGATGACGGCTTTTTTTTTTTTTGTTCATGTCACTACGAAGTTTCTGTACTTCATATTGTATTTTTCCTAAGATCGTCAATGAATGTTCAATGCTTATTGTTTTGTCTCTCATTTCTTGTATACTTATTACTATGAAGAACACTAAACGGGTATGTCTCTTCCATCATCGAGCAACCTACGCAGCCTTCGTGAGTATCGGCTAAAATACGCTTTCTCATTATGCATTATCATAATTATTATTTCAATTATTTCTAGTAGTCGTCCCGACTGGCCACCTCATCATCGTGACTGTCGTCCGAACAGGTCACAATTCGAAATACCTGCAAAACTGTAAAACTGTGAAACCTACCCAACCTTGCCTTTTTAGATATGACTGCCGTCCCGGCAGGCCAATTCACTTAAACAATGCTCAATTCATGGGAAGGATGTTCACAGAAAAGACAAAATTACCCTTCAATACTTTTACAAATTTACCCTAATATACTACAATCCAATTACCTTAACTCTAACTTACTAACAAACTACTATCATCGATCAAACTCTGATCAATGAACTCATTACTAATAACTCAAATTACCTGATACTCGATCGAACATGTGACCGTAAAAGGGCCTATCACATGTTCGATCGAATAGCACATGATTCGAGACAAAAGCTGCTTCGATACTTACGTATCGAGCAGCTAATATATTTTTGTTTTTTAAGAACTCATAAAATCAGAAAAATTCTAAGAATTACATACCGCAAATGTGAATAATTTGTCAATATTGTCAACGAATTGATCACATGTTTGAAACGATTTTGGCAGCTCAATTTGCCCAGTATCAATCATTATATAGAGCCCTGGTGCAATTAAAACCATTATAGATGCCAATTCGCTAACCTTTTCAAGTTCTATTTCTCTCTCACGTTGTTTTTTATTGACCATTATCCAAAAATCATCCTTTTTAAAGAAAGAATAGGGATTAGTAAAAATAGGTTAAATTTAAAACTGCTATATTACTGAAGGACTAAACATTAGGGTAATAACATGTAAGAGCGCCCAAGGGAAGACGAAGTCCACTATCGCCGGCCAAGACGAAGTCAGCCAAGCTACTTGGGGGTTGTCAATACGTCACGTTGTTTGTCCCGGTGACCGGAACGTATTCTAGCTCTTAGTCCAAAGACGCCGAGGGAAGACGAAGTCCACTATTGCTGGCCAAGACGAAGTCAGCCAAGCTACTCGGGGGTTGTCAATACGTCACGTTGTTTGTCCCGGTGACCGGAACGTATTCTAGTCTTTGAACACATAAAATTACCCAATTCGAATCGTGGATAGTACTTAACTTCAAAATTAACTAAACATCTATGTGCCTCATCACCAGACAATTTCTCTAAAGAAATTTTGTAAAGTCGATATTCTTCTGCTTTGTCATATGAAAAGTCGTCTTGAGTTAGCCTGTACTACAAAAACTTTAATAGCGACCAACTCGAATCTTTCGTGAAAAAATCGCTCATTTGGTTGTGGTTTATAATAACGATACAAGTATATACTACAGTTTTGAATATAGTTAATATATGTATAACAGAGCACAAATCCTATTGTAAAATGCTGGAAATTTCCGCTACTTTCCTCTCCAATTTTTCAACGACTTCCAGCCATGATTTATTATTAAGTTCCAGTTAGGAAAAACGCGTTCGGAGAAAATCACATTACATCATCCGAAAATTTTTGTGCACTGATGTATAAATAACTATTTTAGGGAAAGTCTACGGACACGTACAAGTCACGTGAAATCGCACGTACCCTAAACTAAGATCGGTGATTGGCACGCGTCGATAACATTTATTCATGTGACTGGTACGTGTCCGTAGACATTCCGTTATTTTTATTATATAACGATAAATTTAATAGGACAGGTGAAACCTGAGTTGCGAAATGTGAAATCTGCGTTTTATTATGTTTATTACATAAAAGCGAATTTCACCTCATGTGATGATCATACTCAAGTTTCACCCTGTCGTAAACCACCCAATCAGTTCCATAAACACAATTTAACTCAGTAGCATATGATGAAAATTTTTATTAAATTAAACAATATCGATATATAGCATGCATTTAAACTCTGTACGTAACTGATTTGGTTGGTCGTTGAAAACTCGACTTATTGAAGTTCTTGTGCCTTAGATGCAGATCGTCAGGTGAGGTGCGTAACATCATCTAAGCTGTGATCTGACGAAAGAGTAAAATAAATTGAAGACCTTTTACTTGGAACTCTATTATTCTCTGTTTCTCGGATCTCTACGCCGTTTTCTCACTGGTAGCATTCTTACTTAAATCACTTTGGTGCCTTTCTTAACTCTATATTTTGAATCACTTTGGAATCGTCTTACCTTCTTGAATCTTTGGTAATTTACAACCAATAGTAGCATTCTTT